GCTAGACTTTTTGGGCAGATATTTTTGACCATCTCTGGATAATGAATGTTCTCTCCGAAGAATAACCGCCTAAAGCATTGGAGTCACAATTTCAGGCTTTTCTTCTGCCTTGACGTACCTTCAGACCAAACAGCTCACATGCTCTCGCTAAGATCATTATCATAATTCTTAGTATTTCGTGCCTGGTTCATAGTTTTTTGTATGTAACGGTTATACAATCCTTTCCCTTCCACAAAGTTTTCGCATATATTTCTCCCGGCTACTTAATGAGGACTTACTTAATTAAGGAGCTTAATGTGGATTAGTCCTGCGCATGTGCAGCTCAACTTCCGACTCAGGGTCGCCTCGCTCTAAAAAAGTAATGTAGTAGTGATTAATACCATTTTGGTGGTAGGACCTCTTGTGAGTCCGCGCGGGTAGGTACCACCGCCCTGCCTATTTCTGCCGTGAAGCAGTAATGCGTTTCGGTTTGAAGGGTAGAGCAGCCGTTGTAACTGTACTGAGATCTTAGAGCTTATATCTCAAGGTGAGTGGCGCATTTACGTTGTAGATGTCTAAGAGCTCTTGTAACCACTTAACACTAGGTAGGCTGTGAGCTCGTCCACCTAACTAAGCAACAAAAAAAATTGAAATAGTTTATTCTTGATTCTAAAACTACGCTTTCTAGAACGCATTCTTGACACCGTGACTTAATATTGCATTGAAAAAATCAGAATTTTAATACTCTAAGGAACTGATAAAGATAATTTTTAAATATGTAAACAAAAACGCTTTTAAAAGAACCAAAAATATTAGTTAGAGATCTTAAGGACTGCGCCCGCTGCGTGGCCCGACATCTGTAGTCACACACTGCAGATGCCAGCCGACTTGACTCTGGTCAAATGTCAGTTTAAAAATACAGACTCTGAGATAAACTAACTGATGGTAGGTGGTTACCGTCGCTATTAGCAACGGTAATCGACCTTATAATATATACTCAACTAATTAATATTTCAACAATTGTAATACATACATTTAAATTTTTTTATACATTACTATTGCATGATTTCGGGAAAGTTAATGAATTTTACGTGGCACTCTATTAATGTAATGTTATAAAGTGAGGAACACGCATCTATAGTAGGATAAACTGCTTAATCTTACTTTCATGAATTTCCCAACAAAAACAATTTAACTATTATACTCAACACATTTTTGCAGCATACATTGCGGCATCACAATTGATTGGTTACGTTTCCATTGATAAAAAAACCGTAATGTATGAGTAGTATTGTCGATTGCCTCAATCAATGCGCAGATCGCCTGCTAGCGGTATTGGCATGCAATCGGATCAATGAATCAATTGCAGGTCACAGGGCGGTTAAATTTAACTCGACTTGTCACCGGCTAACTGCATCCGTGGTGAAGTTCAATGTTTGTTTTGATACTAAATCCGTTTGTTATGTTCACTACTTAAACTCCATATCTATATATTAATACGTGAAGCAAAAACTTTGTACCCCTTTTTACGAAAATTGCGCAGACGGAGGAGTATGAAAATTCTCACACTTATAGAGAATATAGAGAAGGAGTGCACAATGCTAATATATTTTTTAAATATTCGATAAAAGATACTTTAAATCAATAAAGAAACATTACACGCACTACCATGTAGTTGACACACACACACATATACTCTTTGTTTATTGCACTGAAGTATTGTCTAACTTTTGTTATTGCTTAAAGTCTGTAGTCAAATTGAGAATAGGTTAGTATTGTTTATCTTTAATATTACGAGTATTTTTCTATAGTATAGTCTTGGCGAAATCTGTAACAATAGGACCATAATAATGTTGAAACTTATAATTCAATTAATTATAGTCGAATTTCGACTACTGCAGGACCACTAGTATAAATAATTGTATGAAAATAAATTAACGTGATCCATTATTACGAGAAAAACACACGGACTACATGATGCTAAGTGAAGCTTAGAAATGCCATCACCCATTTTGAGACTTAAGGTGGTTGACATCTCCGCGGCTCTACAGCCCACCTGACGCGGGCTCTCCTGACGCGACTCTACGATGGCGTGGAGACGGTAACCACTTACGGTGGTGAGTTAGTTAAGTTTGCCAACGACGAGAATCAACATTTTCATATAAAGGAACATATGTTCACAACAAGTAAAGTTATACATTCGATGCGATTTGAACACATGTAACAAAAAGTAGGATGTTTTTTGCACTGGCACACAGCTCCCGTGAGACTAAGTCGTTTCTTTGAGACATGAGGTCAATATCTGAATTGTATGATACAGTTTACAGGCACCCTCACTCCTCAATTACGAATGCATGCTATGTATACGAGACCTTTAAAATTTTCCGTACTACTGTAGGTAGTAGTAGGTAGGCTCATTCTGAGCATAGGCACGCTGACAGGCAGGAATCCTAACTACTTCAGCCCCCCAGGGTTCATGGGTTCTGGCTTAACATTAGATGTGCCACCTGCACACCGTTCTATTTAAACTGAAAAATAAAATTTTAGGCGAACGTCACCATCCAGTGAAATGATTTGCAATAAGCACTTCTTATATGCCACGTTACTGTACATCATATATTTTTACCCCACATCACGGTTAACTCTACATAGGTACATAATATCACTACATAGTATAAAACAAAGTCGCTTTCTCTGTCCCTATATCCCTATGTATGCTTAAATCTTTAAAACTACGCAACGGATTTTGATGCGGTTTTTTTTAATAGATAGAGTGATTGAAGAGGAAGGTTTATATGTATAATAACATCCATTAAATAGTGGAGAAATCAATAATAAATTACAGTTTCCGAACCGAAGCAAGGGCGGGTCGCTAGTAATATACCTAATTGTTTTTTTGCTGGAAACTATGCGTGTTTTTTCAAATAATATATATTTCTTTTGGGTAGTTTTCCAACTCCAATTACATATCAGGCGTCATTAAAAAATACTACGGAATTTTGTGGTCTGAATAATATGTAGGTATTGATATTAAGCATTGGTCATGTTGTCTGATTTTAATGCTTTTTATTTATTTATAATGTATTGAATTCTTAGTTATTATCAGTTTGAAGAATTACAAAAATTAAATACCTAAATAAAATCTATATATTTTATTCGTATTGTACATATTTCTGAACTCGAAGTACGGTCGAGCGCGGCGCCCATCGCCCGCAATGGCTCGCGGCGCGCTCAAATCTTTTCGCGATTTAATCTGTTTTTAACCAATTTTCGGTACAAAATATTATTGAAAAATAATCCAAATCTGTTATTTATTTATACAGTAAGTTCGTTAGACAGGTAAGTTAGTGTAATTGTGTACATTTCGCGTGTATTATCGAGCGCGATCGTGGAGAGGCGGGGGCGACCCGGCTCGCCTTGTATGGAGCGCGGCCGCGGCTCACGCGCGTCCTATATAAGAAACCGGCGCCGGGAACCGCCGCACTCGCAGTCTCGCTGCCGTAGAGTCAATACCAGCGTCCCCAACACAAACACACACAAAGTTCAAGATGTGCGACGACGATGTTGCTGCGCTTGTAGTCGACAATGGCTCCGGCATGTGCAAGGCCGGTTTCGCCGGCGACGACGCGCCCCGCGCCGTCTTCCCGTCCATCGTGGGTCGCCCTCGCCACCAGGGCGTGATGGTCGGTATGGGCCAGAAAGACTCCTACGTGGGTGACGAGGCCCAGAGCAAGAGAGGTATCCTCACTCTGAAGTACCCCATCGAGCACGGTATCATCACCAACTGGGATGACATGGAGAAGATCTGGCACCACACCTTCTACAATGAGCTGCGTGTCGCCCCCGAGGAGCACCCCGTGCTGCTCACCGAAGCCCCCCTCAACCCCAAGGCCAACAGGGAGAAGATGACCCAGATCATGTTTGAGACCTTCAACTCCCCCGCCATGTACGTCGCCATCCAGGCCGTGCTCTCGCTGTACGCCTCCGGTCGTACCACCGGTATCGTGCTCGACTCCGGAGATGGTGTCTCCCACACCGTGCCCATCTACGAAGGTTACGCTCTGCCCCACGCCATCCTCCGTCTGGACTTGGCTGGTCGCGACTTGACCGACTACCTCATGAAGATCCTCACCGAGAGGGGTTACTCGTTCACCACCACCGCTGAGAGGGAAATCGTTCGTGACATCAAGGAGAAGCTCTGCTATGTCGCCCTCGACTTCGAGCAGGAGATGGCCACCGCTGCCGCCTCCACCTCCCTCGAGAAGTCCTACGAACTTCCTGACGGTCAGGTGATCACCATCGGTAACGAGAGGTTCCGTTGTCCCGAGGCTCTCTTCCAGCCTTCCTTCCTGGGTATGGAATCGTGCGGCATCCACGAGACCGTGTACAACTCCATCATGAAGTGCGACGTCGACATCCGTAAGGACCTGTACGCCAACACCGTCATGTCCGGTGGTACCACCATGTACCCCGGTATCGCCGACAGGATGCAGAAGGAGATCACCGCCCTCGCGCCCTCAACCATCAAGATCAAGATCATCGCTCCCCCCGAGAGGAAGTACTCCGTATGGATCGGTGGATCCATCCTGGCTTCCCTGTCCACCTTCCAGCAGATGTGGATCTCGAAGGAGGAATACGACGAGTCCGGCCCCGGCATCGTCCACCGCAAGTGCTTCTAAGCAGCGCGGCCGCGTGACCCCGGTGCTGTGTGGTGTTGTGCTCGTCCGAGTTCTGAACGCAACCGTCAGTACGTTGTACTTAGTGATACCTGAGAACTGAACATCTAATCTAACGCCATCTATTCTAATGTAATTTATTGTAAAATTTTATATAAATTTAATTTCTTTTTTATTTTTATTATATACACGGGATCGTTGTGGATCTCAACGCCAAATGTAATTAATAAATAAAACGGTTAATTTATTTATTTTAATTACATTATTTCTTTTTATACAGTCGTTGACTTTGGATTTATTCAAATTATTCCTCGCACCCTTGCATCCCTTCACATAGATACGAGTATGACGAACAACGACAGACGTGTCAGTATCGGAGTCAGTGGGGCTGCACCTGTCCGTATCTGGGTCAATTCGGTTGCCAACATTCCCGAGATCGCTCGTCCCGTAGGTAGTTGTCAATGAGTCCCCGAGTGACGCGCCGCGCTGGTCGCCCCGCACTCGCAGTACCGATATAGCAGCGGAGATTGCCCCACACGCGTCGAAATTAGCCACCATGCTCACTACCATACATAGTAAAGAGTCGACCGGAGTCGATTCTCTAAATATAGTTCACAATCAACGTGGACGGGCGATTCTGATTCTAATCGTGCGGTAACAGCAACTAGTTTAGCGTGCACGGTCTCGTTTCCGTAAATACAACGTGCTCTGTGGACGTGTGGTGGTTCAGTATCGTCGGCTCGTCTATAAATATTCCAGTCTCCCGGATAGTTCGTCTCGAGCGGTTTCTATCTGCAACTTATTGCCGCGTGCTTACTTCACATCTGATGGTTTAATTATAGTGACTCAGCCGCGTTCTGTTGCGCATCACTCTCAAACACATGTCCCTGGTCTGCGACAGAGCAGGGGCCGCTGTTTGGACGCAGCGAGACATTATCATCACCCATTCTTTGTTGTTATCGAAGCGTGCCTTGTGCTTCGCCAGTCCCAGGGTGTTTGAACTGTGATGATGTCCACCTCGCCCGCCACGTTTGCGTCATCAAACCTAAATCTGTTCGCATACTGACCTCATTCCCTCTCGATATTTTACGGTTTATTAATACGTTGACACTCCTCAAATTACTGTCGACTTAGAGAAAATTTTGCAGTTTTCGATGAAACCGCATGCTACTTCTGACCTTCTACGTTAATCGTATATTTAGTCGATCGACTGGAGTACTCAGAAGTGGTCCACTGTATCTCTGACACAATCCTGTGACGCACGAACTCACGCAGAGATATTTTACAAAAAACTATTTTTATGTTTTTCAGCACGCGGCTAGCAGTTTAGAACTTTTTGCTATCAAGGTTCTTTGCAATAATCCAATCTGTTTTGTCACTGTTAAGGCGACAATTGATGAGAGAGACGTTCGCCACGTCTATAAACTATGTCATTGACCGCCGGTCCGACCACAACGTCAACATCACCACGTGAAGTCTTCGGCTTGCAATAACTTTATTGACTTTATGATTCAGGAATGACTAGTAAACAGCAATGACTTAATGTTTAGTATTAATACTTGCTCAGCTTTATTCACAGATGAGTGAACGAGCTCATGGCCGCTTGGTACAAAGTGGTTACCCGAGCCCACAGTGACAACGGGAATACCGCTGCCCATCTTGAGAAGTAAGGTCGAAATTGCAGTTCAGTTATATTGCAGGACCAGGGCGGCGCGAATAGCTGGCGAGCTCGCAGTACGCTCTTTATGGTGAAGGTAAAGCATTTGTGACAAACTGGTCAAGTTAAATCAAAACGTTTTTTATTCAAGCTGGCCTTCACGTGCTATAAAGTTATAGACCGTCCTTGCAGCGTCCTGCCACTCACGCCCACGAAGCATTCATGCGTCCCGACTTCGAAGCTAGCATTGCCGGGGCTCCAACAGTAAAGACGACTTCCACCACATCCCTGAAGACCATCGGCCTGATACCGACGTTGTACTATGTCAGCTTTAAATGAGGGTTTTATTTAAAATTGCGTTATGGAGATTGAGACATAAGTTCTAAGGTCTCAGTACAGTTACAACGGCTGCCCCGCCCTTCAAACCGAAACGCATTACTGTACCATGTCGTGGTGAGGTCAGCTCGGACGGCTGCCTTGGTCTACGTCGTTGCGGTCTACTTGCGTTTCAGTAGACCAGTTTTGTTACTTACTAGTTAAGTGTAATGGGATGAATACCTCTCTTCTCCTACTCACTATTTATTATCACATTGAGATACTTTGACAAAACAAACAGTCTAACGCGTCCCATTTTCTATTCTGGTTTTACAGATATCCGGCGGCGGTATTCACCTACAACATAGCAACTTATCTTCAAATGCTATTGACAAGGAGACAGGTTTTGTGAGCATATCCTATACCATGACATATTTCAAAAAAGCAAATGATGATAGTAGTCCAGCGACGACTCGACGACTCGCATGTCTTTACGTAGTTGACTAGAGAACGATAACTAAAAATAGAACATGTAACAGTAAAGGAGCCTCACTTTAATTTCATAAATAGAATATGTAATGGAATACGCTGAGCAAGAACTGAAGCAAAATATAATGGGAAGGTCGGCACCGGCTCGCCAGTAGGGGCCAGTAGGGGCCAGCCAGTGGCTGGTTTGAGACCGTTTATGTTTATTATTATACAGGAGCCGACGAGCTCACGGCCCGCCTGACGCTAAGCTCACCAACCTTTTATACCATTAATCGGCATTCAAGATAGACCTTCAGAAAGAGTATTGCAGAAAGATTTCTCTTCATTAGTTGTTCATAATAGCTTATCATTAGAAATAATTATAACACTTTTTTTTATTACCTTTGTAGGCAGACGAGCATACGGCCCACCTGATGGTGAGTGGTTACCATCGCCCATTGACTTCAACAATTCCAGGGGCAAAGCCAAGCCACTGCCTACCGTTAAATACTCTCCCCAAGCCTCGTTTGTAGAAGGACATGTTATAGCGCTCGGGAAACACCGTGGAGGGGAGCTCATTCCAAAGCCGGATGGTACGTGGCAAAAATATCTCTGGAAAAGCACTGTGGGTGAAGCAGTGGCTCCCGGTAGTATGGACGAACTTCTACTCTGGTGGCGGGCGGTGCGTGGGTAAAAACGAAATGATGGACTCATTTCAAACTAACTCTCAATACTAACAGTAAAATCGAAAGTGTGGGAAAGTTGTTTTCCGTATAATTTGCGAATAGCTGTTGGCGCCCAAAAGAGTGAAACTTCAAAAAGCCACACGCGCATCAATACTCGACGCTGCACATTGGAATCATTAATCATCACGCGCCCGTGTAGGGGGCGGACAGGAATAGATCGTGCACAGGTATCGCGAACTATATTTAGTTCGGACTTTTCATTTACTTTTACAGTAACGTCGGAGCGTGCCAAACGATCTCACACTGATAACGAAACTGAGTCACGACACAATACTGTGTGTATATACTGCGCTCGTGGACAGAAGCTCATCAGGCCGCGGGGGCAGCACCCACCTTTTCTTTAACCTATGCTGATATCCTTAAGAGGCAATTTCAGCTACACCCTAGCGTGTAGGTGAGTTCACGGGGCTCAAACCGTAAGTGTTGCTATCACTGGCGCTAGAAAGTAGTGCTTCGCAGAATCTACCACCGGATCGCAAACGCGATCCACTGAGAAGATCCGGCGAGAAACTCAGTGGGCTGTGTCTGTGGGTTAATTCGCTCGTCGAGCCCTTCGTCGTAAGCCACGGGTTCGACGAGGACGGTGACCGGTGCTTGTGGTACCTAAAAACACTGTTAATGGATCTGGAGGATCCGTAATGACGTGTTTAGGGTGACGTCGACTCTGTGCCATTCGGTTCGCAGGATCGGGTATGTAATTTCGGGCGGTCACGACAAGAGGGTTTTCGTGTCATGCCGCCTTCTCAAAGTAGCGCATCGTTGCCGACTGTATATACTTACTGATTAAGTCAAGCTTCAGGTCATCATGGCTATCCACATTCCTTAGGAACCATGGTGCTCTGACGGCTATCCTGCAAAAACGGGATTGAAGAGCGCCCACAGAGAGGCAGGAGGTTGTTGTCTCGACTGTATTAGAACGACGGAACCTCCCTACCGACTCTGTGTATTATCAAGACGATTTATTTTGCAAACACACAGAACAAGCAGCAACATCAGTCGCAGTTAAAACGAAGTGTGAATCTATAGAACCAGTTCCCGCAGGTCTCCGTCGACTCAGCGAACCCTTAGACGACATCGCTGCACAACGTATGTTAAGTTACGGAGATGCCGAGACGTTAGTCTACCACCAGCACCGATGTCACACAGAGACTGAAGTACAGATGAGCATGTTGAAGCGTAATATCCGTCTGACTCTGGACTTCTTCTTCGTCACTTTCTTCATTACTGAAGGTCGTGTCCCTGAAACTTGACCGTGGCTGTCTCGTGAGCTGTTTCCATCTCGTCCCGTCCTCAGCTTCTGGAATGGCGGTTGCAACTGGCAACCCAGTTAGAGCGGTTATTTGGTCACACCAACGGCTAGGTAATCAGCCGCGGGGTCTCTTTCCTTCTACTTTGCCCGTCACAATCACTTTGTCCAAGTTATCTGACTGTCGGCGGGCAATATGACCGAAATAGCTGAGGATCCTCTGGTAACAGATTGTTGAGAGCCTGACTCGGATGCGAAGCTGATCCAGGATAGATTTATTTGTCCTCTTCGCCGTTGACGAAATTCGGACATCACTTCCCAAAACTCGGCCTGCAGTCAGCGCGTATCCTGAGCTGACGTTTCCTAGCTTTAATATAAAGTAATGAAGTCTCCAGTGAGCCGCGTGCTGCGCGCGTCACCAGCTCGCGGCTCGTGACTCCCGGCGACAATAATGTTATTGATAAAAGATCAATCGTTCGTCGCACAATGCTTGTAGCGAGTCCGCTTGTCCCATTGTTGGATGTTAAACATACTCACAATGCTTGTACGGTGACTAAAGTTTTTGACTTACACGGGATTTTTTCAAACTGTTTTTTACAAGTATGACTCTTTAAATATCGTAATGTATGGTACATAGTACAAATCGCCGCTGACTGGTTATGGGGTAATAGAGAACGTAATTTCAAAGCGTCCGTAACTCAGTACAACTCGTAACAGGTTTTTTGGTATCACCAGCCGACTGCTGAGGGAGGAACTGATTTTTAAGTAAATGCGTAATAAAAGCAGCATGAAGAGTGAAACAGCTACAATAAATTGAATCTTAACGCGGATGGTGACGTCACGTTGTGCTGTTTGTGAGCCCCGGTTACCATTTAACACCACGTGAGCCGTGAACTCGAACTCTACATAAATAAGCTAAGTAGACTAAATCGTTTTCACGTTTATTTGTGATTACCATATAGGTACTAGTACTAAAGTAATGATCCGGAGTTTTGAAGTCGTCGAGGCCTAACGGATAAGACATCCGGTGCATTCGTGTTGAAGCGATGCACCGGTGTTCGAATCTCAGGCGGGTACCAATTTTTCTAATGAAATACGTACTCAACAAATGTTCACGATTGACTTCTACGGTGAAAGAATAACATCGTGTAATAAAAATGAAACCCGCAAAATTATAATTTGCGTAATTACTGGTGGTAGGACCACTTGTGAGTCCGCGCGGGTGGGTACCACCACCCTGCCTATTTCTGCCGTGAAGCAGTAATGCGTTTCGGTTTGAAGGGTGGGGCAGCCGTTGTAGCTATACCTGAGACCTTAGAACTTATATCTCAAGGTGGGTGGCGCATTTACGTTGTGGATGTCTACGGGCTCTAGTAACCACTTAGCACCAGGTGGGCTGTGAGCTCGTCCACCCATCTAAGCAATAAAAAAAAAGAGTAAGTGTGAACACGTCGAAATGTTTTGTTGGAAATATCCATCGAGAGTGTGGGTGACAGTAGCGACATTCAAATCGAATATCAGAAGGTTATTAGGGGCGAAATTAATAAAAACGACGAGACTTGCTGAACGCGCCTCACAGAGCGACAATACTCACCCCGAGCCAGATAAACCGGCTGGCCCACCCTTAACTATGCTATACTAAAGCTTATATTTGTAGCTTAGCTTTTTATACATCCTATACCATTAAAGGCAAAGAAGAGTGTTCTCTGTTAATGCATAATGTCTAAGAATGTTTTGGTAGACACAGGTTAAAGTTTGATTAGACTACATTATTATGACCTGAATTAGACTCTAGCAATACACTCTGGTTTGAATCACTCACTTCTCGCCTATTCATAATGGAAATAAGGATGCGTCAAATGAGAATAAATAAACAGATCCAACCAGCTTGTGGCATAAATTCTAGATGGGGCTCTTGATCGGAATGACAAATTCAATTATCGGCAAATGATGATCAATTATATTTAACTAGTGGTCCCGCAGTAGTCGAAATTCGACTATATTTAATTGAAATTAAATGTTTGTGTACTATTATGATTCTATTGTCAAAGACTTTTATACTTCTATAATCACAGATTTCGACAAGTCTACAATTTAGACGAATATTAATAGAGACAAACAATTAAAATCTATTCTCAATTTTACTACAGACTATAAGCAATAACAAAAGTTTGACAGTAAATAAATAGTATATATACGTGTGTGTGTCAAATACATGATAGTGTGTGTAATGTTTTTATTTATTGATTTAATGTATTTCTCGTGCATAATTTATAAAAATATTAACTGATTGATCATTCTCTTCCGTCCACGCAATGTTCGTAAAAAGGGGCACAAAGTTTTTGCTTCACGTATTAATATATAGATAACATAATATGTGCGCGCCTGCTGCGTAGTTTGGCATAGCTGTGGGTGGGACCGCGGCACAGTCGATGCGCACGAATCAATTAAATCCGTCCACGCTTTGACAGATATCGTTGGAATCCAACACACCCGCGCTCTAGGGCTGACCCGCGACACCGCGCCGCGAACTTCAACATTAGATACATCACATAGAGAGCCACTAGGACGATGTATTTATTACGTTAGAATATGAACTTCCTTTCTTTGAACAGAATGCCATTCATCACGTCAGAAATAGGTAGGTAATTCAAATATTTACATTATATTAAAGTACGTTCGAAGTTCTAAATCGTCGTGGCCTAAAAGATAAGACGTCCGGTGCATACGTGTTGAGCGATGCACCGGTGTTCGAATCTCAGGCGGGTACCAATTTTTCTAATGAATTACGTACTCAACAAATGTTCACGATTGACTTCCACGGTGAAGGAATAGCATCGTGTAATAAAAATCAAATCCGCAAAATTATAATTTGCGTAATTACCGGTGGTAGGACCTCTTGTGAGTCCGCGCGGGTAGATACCACCGCCCTACCTATTTCTG